GCCCAGATACAGCTCTTGGGACAAGAACTGGTTCATTTTGCTTTAACGAGCTGACATGTAAGTGCCCGATGAATGCAAATAATATTTAGTTGTTGGATCAGTTTACAATGTTGATGTTAAGACATTTAAGCAAATGTGAGCCAGCGGGGTGTTACATAGCTTCAAGAAATCTGCAAACAACATCGTGTGGAGGGACATGAGAAATATGCCTGACACATTGTGCTTACGTTAGAAATAAACCCAACCCACGAGACTACCCGCCCGAAATTTCTAAGTGTAACTGGTTGAGTATGTTTAAAGATCGCGTATGTAAGTTCAAACAATGAAATCAATTTCCTTTAATGTCTTCAATATTTGTTCAATTCCAGGAACCACCAAAATGTTCTTCCTGTTGTTGCCATACCAACACTCATCAAACTGCTGCCATCGAGTAGGTCATATAATCGCAGGTGACGTCTCTTCAACCGTTTGGTCCCCTCCGTTAAAGACGTCAGCTTGTATACTAAAAAAAATGATGTTTCCAGTTAAAAACTGCTGTTGTTGGGTACATGGTATTCATTGCCATGTTAGCTACCGTGCTGATATTTAATAGACTATTCCCGATTTTGTGTTATTTTGCAATACATCATTCTCATTTGGAGGCAAACGGACGGTAGAGGGACGTAAATGTGTTTTGTGAGTGAGTGAGTGAGTGAGTGAGTTTAGTTTTACGCCGCTTTTAGCAATATTCCAGCAATATCACCAGAAGTGGGCTTCATACATTTTACCCATGTGGGGAATCGAACCCGGGTCATCGGCGTGACGAACGAACGCTTAAACCACTAGACTATCCCACCGCCAACACTTACCAACACAAGACAAGAGTAAGCATTTGACACACATTGATGATAAAAATATTGAAAGTGAAGTTTAACAAAGCAGTCGACCAGCCCAGTTGCGTAAACGTATAGATGGTAGGTGTCGCTGTAGAAGAAACAGCCGATGGACAGATAAAGGCATGTAGGTCATGACATACTGTCCAAATCGCGTTATCCAGTTGACCTTCAGCATGTTTAAGATATTAGAACGTGGTCAGTGAGTTTGTGGCGTTTCCCTTGTTGGAAAATTAATGTACTTTCCACCCAAACCCATTCCTTGACATATTGCGTGTATCGTCATAAAATATTTGTAAAGTATGGCCTAATAAAGTATATTTATAAAAACGGCTACAATGGCATCTTCGTCAGCTTCCATGACAAAATATTCCAGTCCATTTATATCACCGGTTCTTGTGGACCAAAATGTCGTGTGGGTGAAGATGGTGGCCACCCGCGATCTCATTATGACATACAGGACCTGATTCAGTACCAAAAGATAATAAGACAATTTTAATGAGTGAGTGAGTGAGTTTACACCGCACTCAGCAGTATTCCATCTACGTGGCGCCGGTCTGTAAATAATCGAGTCTGGACCAGACAATCAATGGATCGACAGCATGAACATCGACCTACGCAATTGGGATACGATGACATGTGTCAACCCAGTCAGCAAGCCTGACCACCCGATCCCGTTAGTCGCCTCTTACGACAAGCATGGGTTACTGAAGATCAGACCGCCTCCGTGGTGTAGTGGTTAGAGCGTCCGCCCGGAGAGCGGAAGGTCGCGGGTTCGATCCCCGGCCGCGTCATACCGAAAGACGTTAAAATATGGTACTTGTTGGTCCCTACCTGGCGCACGGCATTAATGGGTACGACAAGGACTGGTCGGCTCGGAGTCAGTATAATGTGTCTGAGTGGGGTATTCATGCTTCACTGCGGCATGGTATCTCAGTGGGCTAGCACTATAAAACCAGCTTAAGTCTGGGCTAGTACAAGCAGCCGTACATACACATACACACGCATGCACGTCGTCATATGAGCGAAATATTCTCAAGCACGAAGTAAAACCCAATTTCACGTCACCTCACTGAAGATCAATTCTAACGGGTCTTCACGGGTAAAAAGATAATAAGACAACTTTAATGAATTAATTGTATACATATGAAAATGTACTTTGTATTTTTCCTTTTCCGTGTAGATGTTGTGCAAACTCGTCCACAAGTTTCTCTACAGCATCTCGACAAGGTTGAAGATCCTCAGGTGAGAAGAATTCCTCCACTACCACGAATCCCTGCAAATAATAGTATATATTTGGCTGGTGGACGTTGTACTAATTGTAAGACTTAGTCCCACCATCATGTCGTTTGCTGCCCAGGTGAGTGAAATATAGTTGTATTAACTATTTATTAATATACAAAGAGTAATGTTAATTTTATACAGTGCATGCTGATAATTTTGATTTTCTTACACAATAGATAAGGCTGTTGTACAAAGTGTGATGGGTGTTTATACAATATGGGTTGAAGAATGATGATAAATGTATGGATATGCAACTTCTCTACTCTGTGAAAGGCGACGTTTCGACATAGATTCTAATGTCGTTGGCAAGCAAGTGATCAACAACATAAAATTATCATCATTCTTCATCGCCTCAACTTCTAAAATGCCCATCAAAGAAATAATATAAGTTGTTCACTGGTCACGAGGGGTTAATGTACCATCTATGTTTGTTTATGTTCCCTGGGCCCGTGTTCTTACGTGTTAATTTTGAACTGTGTGAAGGACGGGTATCGGATCATAATAAGAGAGACAGTTTTATTCAGTAAAAGGTCACTGGCCCATAATACAGTCAAATCCATGGTCACACATCACATCAATGGTACACGTGGATTTATAAACAAAATTGTATACAATATAAAAATAGATTAACATTCTTAATCACATCAACATAGGCAGATTGGATCATGTTTATAATACAGTTGTTTATCGTAGGAGGGTGACTAAAATATTTCACAATATATACTACCCATCAAAAGTTTAGACTCACTTAAAGCACTCACTATATGTTATGTGTGTGTGTGAGTGAGTATGGTTTTACGCCGCTTTTAGCAATATTCCAGCAATATCACGGCGGGGACACCAGAAATGGGCTTCACACATTGTGCCCATGTGGGGATTCGAACCCGGGTTTTCGGCGTGACGAGCGAACGCTTTAACCACCAGGCTACCCCACCGCCCCTAATATCCCCAGGAAGTTGGGGGAACTAAATCCAAGGGGTTGAAAACCTTATACAGATGAATTGCACGAGGATCATGCATCAAATTGCTGAAAAGCATGTGCAAATATCGCGCATGTTAACAGCTTCGTTGTGGTGTTAAGTTTTGTTATGAATTCACGAATTTTCACTGAGTTTCATCATTTATTGAACTCATAACAATAATCTTTTCAATGTTACGAATTTGTTTTACAATACATCAGTTCATGTGTAAACAGTGCCCTTAAACTGTATAGTATATTTTGCAAATTCTAGTTTAGATTAGTTGACTGAAGTAAGTGGCTACATTTACACTAGTGAGTCTATATTTTTGATGGGTAGTATATTTACCTCGAACATCAGAAAAAAATTCACAAATATACAAACTATGCCACCCATCTTCAACAACCTTAATACCCTTTGATTTACAAAATAAAAAAAATTCATTGGAAGCAATATTTTCATATCTCATTATAAGGAGTACGAGAATTACATGTACCTCCCTACCATCGATTTGCATTCGTATAACATCGGTAATTTCCGTACGTCATATTTCACTCAATTATTCGAGATAAAGAATTACAAAGTACCAAATGAATTCCCACGGTTCGTCATTTCCAGCGGGTAATATGGAAAATGTTACTCGCTTGTAAGCGGGGTACCTTGACAATAATAGAAGAGCGCTCAACCAATCGGAAAATGAATAACATTTATGTGTGAGGTAACCGGGGCAGACCCAGATCACAATAATAATGATGGCATGGCTCGCTGCTTCTACTACCGTCTTTTCCATGCCTGTGGCTTTGACTTCGAGGTCCATCCATGGTACGACCCTGAACATGTCCAGGGCGTCATTGAAAATGATGCTTTCAAACTTATCTAGATAGGCCCATATACAGCCTCAGAAGAATTCCTGCCAACAAACCTGATCTTGTCCTTTTTTATAAAGCCAATGAATTTATTTATATCATTGAATTTTCTGTCCCTTTTGACAGCAATGTGATTGGCAAAATTCAGGAAAAGCATGATAAATATGCGGACCTCGCCTTTGAAATGTCTCGCTTGCATCCCAAGTACACCGTCGTCAGGCTCCCCATTGTTCTCGGTGCCCTTGGTTTGGTACCTCCTGATCTCTTGGCGCAGATCATGAGAGTGCCCGGGTTCTCCACCGGGAGTACAACCCTTCTGACACTCTGGGTAATGCAGAAGGCTGCAGTGTTGGGGAGCCTTCATATTCTCCGGAAAGTTCTTGGTGGGTTCGACTAGGCAGCGTTTCCTGGGAGAAGTCCCATTCGCTGTCTTGGCTGCGTGTAGAGGGGACAAGGGCCCTGAGCTGATGATGAGCCTTACCAGCCTGACTGTGCCAGGATCACCCGAACCCTCTCTGCTGCATTTTCATCTTTAATCTGTAAAATATAATAATAATAAATAAATAAATAAATCAACCAATCAATCAATCAATCAATCAATCAATCAATAAATCCATAATATATAAATAAACATAAAATTAAATATATAAAAATCAAATAAAACAATTCTAAAATTCTTTGTATGTACAAATTAAGTGACCCCCCTGCATGTCATGTACAAACTCAACTTATGATTGATACCTTAGAAACCTGTGCAAGTCTAGCAGTAATGCGAAAAACATAATTTAAAATCCTACCACACCATATTTTAGAATTTTAAATGGTCTGTGAAAAGAAAAAGCATTCCATTCCTTTCCTAAATATCAACCTGTTTTGTTTATTCTAGTACAATACGTCTTGCAGTTTTATGAATAGTACTTACGCGTTCATACCGAGAACTTAAAGTATCCACACGAGGATCCATATGCGGAATGCGATTGTGTATACGGAAGTTAACGGTCTCGAACGGAAATTAACGGAAAGATACGATACATGCTGAGCGGTCCCAGCTGGGGAAGGTTGTAAACATTGTTGTGACTGATTTTATTCGTGTCATCTGATTTTTTGACTAGCTGAACCGTATCTGGAACATCGAATTGGACTAAAGCATTGTCACTGGAAAGAGGAATTGCTGACAAGCAGCGTGGGATTGGAATCACAGGCAGGTAGGGATTACACATCTCGGCGAGAGGCGCGATAGGCTCTCGGGGTAAGAGTTCCCTCTGCTTCACGAATCACATACACTGGCGGCTGTATCGACTTTGTCAGTGTGGCTGTTGTAATACTTCTCCGCAGTAGTTAATTAAATCACGTGAAGAATATGCCTTTTAGAGTAAATTTAGTACTGAGAGACTATCATGACATTTCTCTTTGCACACTCCAGGAGTCTGAATAGTCCATCACCAAATGACCACACAAATCCAAAAAGCATCAGCGTAAAGAGTTTAATTTGCCGTTGATTGCAACAAATGTCAATGAAATGTATTTAAACAGCTAATATCTTCGTGTTTTAAATGTTGAATCAGTGTACTATGTCATTGAATACCCAATGACTAGTACCCCAATCTCTTACCAGAAGGGGTTAACAATATCATGACTGGATGTAGAAAACAGTATTTAATGATAATAGAGGCCTTGGTGGTTTAAGTGAAATGATTTGGATAAGATGATTTTAAGACTGTTTATTCAAAATGACAGATATGAAGAGCATCAATAATAAGCAATGTTCAGTCATGGACCAGGAAGGTCTCCTGTGAACCGTGGCGTATGCAAAAGTACATTTGAAGGTGTCAGCGTAACACCCCAGATAGCACACGTGATGTTGCTGGTGAGACAAGCAGGAGTTCGAGTTCATAACAGAAAAGTGCAATAAGTAGCGTAACATTTAGTAGGATTAAATTAGTATTAAATATATCCAGTGACACTAGAAACACTAAACAATACTTCCCCACTATAATGTGAACTACAAACATGACTAACCCAGTTTGGTTAAGTGTACGTGACTGGAGTCATGTCGACCAGCTCTGTAAAATAATCCTTTACACTGGTGAATGGGAAATGGGTAGCCATTGTGTGTCAAGGTTGAAATGACATTCAGTTATTGCATATGCAACAGGGTATCGGAGCCTGTAGTGAAATTGTCCTCCCATTATGTTTTATTTCCTGGAAGAATTATTGCCATGGAGCAGTTTTTATTAGGAAAATTTTCTCATTATACATTAACATTGGTAATATTTGTACCGAAGGTAGCATATTGATAGACCAGCCTGACCTTTGACTGAATATAATCTCCGATTGACCCCATATTGTAGGTACTTCAGTGTGACAAGTAGGGTTCCTCCCACATTAAGCTGTCACGTCATGATATAACTGGAATATTAACAGCGGGTTTCTATTTTGTACTCCCTGAGTTAAATATGTGATATCTGTCTGTGAATAATCACAATGCTGTGAATAGATAGCACTCACGGCAGCAGTTTTGGTTTATTACCATGGCCACAGGCAGTACAGTGTTCTGTCTGGGTCAGTTACCCTTGTCAATGGACATGGTTGGGTGACATTTCATCAATATAGGTCTTGTCATGACTGTAGGCCCTCATCTTGCTTGGCTGCCTCACCACGGTCATGTAATTTGTAAAAACATAACCTTGCTCCAAGGCTGTACTGAATGATAAGCCCATGGATGTATAGTAATTCTAACCTTTAGGAGGCAAGTCTAGATATAAGGACGCCTGTCTGTTAGAAGGATATTTATATTTTTTGGATTTGTTGGTTGTTCACAACAACGTATGGTATGGATTTACAACTTCTTTAATATTTACAACACAACATTTCTGGGTGAATGACAGAATATGATACAAGCAAAATATATAGTATACAGGAAGCCAGTGAGATAGTATTACAGATTGAGATGTACAGAGATTAAGTGATGTGTTCAGATGAGATGTACAGAGTTCAAAGAGATGTACACTGTATATATAACTTTATGCAAAGGACGTACAGAATGTTTATACAGTGTAAAGGATTGGATATACATGATAGGATTGATTAGAAGCCACTTATGAAAAATAATAATTATTAAAGAAGTTGTAAATTCATACCATATGTTGTTGTGTTACCTCCCAACTTCTAAATGCCCATCAAACATCTGGTTGTTTGTTGTTTAACGCAGCATCAGCAATATTCCAGCTATATGGTGGCGGTCTGTAAATAATCGAGTCTGGGCCAGACAATCCAGTGATCAACAGTATGAATATTGTTTTTTTAGGAATTATCACTTAAATTATTTATTATTACCTTAGATGCTTGTGCAAGTCTAGTAAATACCCCTCATTGAGAGGCATTGAGAAGTTGGAGCAGTAAGCATGGCAAGGAAGGATAACAATTAAATATGGATGAACAACTCCTTGATTACAGTGGGAGCTTCTTTATTACAGATCTCATTGTAATAAAGTTGTTCATCCATATATTGTTATCCTGCTTTAGTAAATACCCCTTCAGGTAATAAGTTGACAACTGCTGAATTCTGCAGGAAAATGCTGAACATATTGTACAATTTTACAGATGAAATAAATGAAACCAACATTTGAAGTGGCATTTGTAGAAAAATATAATAGTGCAGTTATCTTTACTGTATGAATTAAAATTGCTCAAGCCTTAAACTTTAGACAATGAAGTTGTGAACTGATTGAAGGATGTTCATGTTAGTAAAATAATGGCTGAACTTTTGTCATGAAATATTTCCATGTATGTAACAGGCATGTGATTTTTCTGTCTAAAGTTGGAATTCTGTCTTTTTAATCTCCATGTAAAAATACCAAAATATCTTCTGTTTTTCTGCATTTTATTTCTTCATATGGTGCTGTCTGTTAATTTTTGCATGTTCAATTGATAAATAATCTGGCTGAATTTCAGTCTTTTTCAGTTGGGTCAAATCACATGCCTGATGTAAGAGCACTGTATGAAACTCCCCTAAAATCTCCACAAGACCACAGAGCTGATAACTTTTATGACCTACCAACCCTACAGAAAACCAGCCAGTTGTATCAACATATCAAAAAAGTATTCTTTTATCATATACAACATTTAGTTAACTCACTCGGCTTGTATTTTTCTGTAAGTTTTACAAAAGAGAAGCAAGGAAGAGAGAAATAACATTATCTTTGATAGTACTGTGTTATGGGAAAAATGATTTTTTTAAATCATGATGGAGCAAATGTACATTATTATTGCTCAAGTAATAACATGTCTGTCTGTCTGTCTGTCTGTCTAGTAGCTTTTATTTTTTTTCATGCCCTGCTCAAAGTTTGCCCGTCTTGGGTGTGCGGGTGGACGGCTATTTCGAACACAGGTTAAACATGTTAAAGTACACAGTCATCTTTCTGATATTGTGGTATTTTGACAGGTAAAGACACAATGAGTTGTGTTCTCAAAGTGATACCTGCACTTGCAGTCTGGTAATTACCGGTAGTAGTAACTCTGATACTTGGCGCTTAAACTAATTGGGGTTTAAATCGCAGCAGCAGAGCCTCGGCTGGCAATGGACAATTTGGCAGAATCTGGATCCATATGTTTTTTTAAGACATACAACGCTTACAGATACAACCATTTATTATCCATATGGTGAAACATAACCAGTGTCATATATATCATATGTGCACATGTACACATATCACTTTTGCCTAGCAACCATTGTTTCTCTATGTCGTCGTCTGTGACGTCATTTAACATGTTTAAACAATGGAACATGACGTCAATGAACAGGGCAGTCACACTTGCTTACCGTGTTTTACTGCACAAATGTTAGGGGTGGGTATTGCAGAGAATTTTCATATTGCGATGCAAAAGCATGTATTGCGATGTGTATTGCAATATATTGCAAGATGTTTTAATTAACAAAAAACTACTTATAATCGAGTTAATGTTTGATTTATAAAGCAAAACCACAACAAAATCACTATGCTTGATTCACCTTAATAAAAACATTTTATGATGACAAAGTAAAAATGAAAATAATATTTGGCACAAATGAAACAAGGAAAAGAACTTAACAATCCAGTTAAATGTAATTTTCACCACGATCATTCCCACCACCCTTACCACAATTTCCACAATCATCAAGATTACCGAGTGTTACGAAGGTTTTCCGAATGCATGTCAAAATACCGGTTTTCGATCAGCGTATCGCAATACGTATCGTTTTCATGTGTAAACCGGTTATATTGTGCAGCCCTAACAAATATACATGAATAAAATGGATAATAAAGAAATTATTACGCTCGCAAGTGTGCCACATGATTTATACGAAACTCATGCAAAATTGTTCGCTCTTCGCTCTTGCTAAGGCAATACAAAATTTCACACTCGTTTCGTATAAGTCGTATGACACGCTTGCTAGTGTAATAATCTCTGTATAATTTGGCCTGAATATTAAGGGCACATGTGTGTGTGTGTGTTGTGTAAGTTGTGACTTCCTTGGCTTCTTTTCTAACAGCTCAGTTTATTTCTCCTCTATAAATTCAAAATGTCTTCTTTTCCAGATCATATATTGTGACAGTATGTCGTCAGAGAATGAAGTGGAACCTGTCCGTTACCCAGGACAGGTTGATACGCCCTTCCCGGAGGTATTCAACACAATGCCTAAACAACCGGAACAGAAGAAACCAGGTCAACTGTCGGAAAAAATGATAAAACAATTCTTTGAAAAGGTGTGCTTTCTTAAAATGAAGTCAGACCTATTTATGTAATTGTGTCAATTTATAAGATATTATAACATTATTTAAACAAACATATTCCACACGTGCGAAAACTATTTCATGAGTATTTCATGACAGTCCTCAAAATTTTCAATGATGTTTGTCATGGTAACCTGAACATATATAGGAGATACAAACATACGTCTAATGGGATCGGATGGACAGGCTCGCTGACTTGATTGACATGTCATCATGGTCATTGTATCCCAATTGAGTAGATCGATGCTCATGCTGTTGATCACTGGATTGACTGTCCCAGGCTTGATTATGGATAGACCACTGTTATATAGCTGTAATATTGCTGAGTGCGGCGTTTAACAACAACCCAACCAACCTGTTTTACAAACATATGTTTTGTGTGAGAAGATAATTTTAGGGCTGTTTCTTGTATATTTGATGCTTTGAAATTCTTAAATGATACAATAGGAGGGAAAGGGAACGCGACATTAATAGTCCATCAGCCTTACTTTTGGATAATGTTTACTCAATTATCTTTAGACTGCAACTCTATGAATGTTACATATGTTATATTTGGGATTACACTTTCTTAGTAAAGTACAGATTCTAGTACCCATGATGGGTTGAGTCCCATCCAGGATTCAAACCCACACCCTCAGAGTCCAGCACCTAATCGCCAGCACAAAAGGTCAGTCGCCTAACCTGCGCTGCCACCGTAGCTTCCATGAATGTTGAAACTAAGGCAAAATTTCAATAATAGGTTTTCAAATGAGTTTAAGATAGCTTAAAAATTGTTTTCAATTAGGGCACAGGCAAACAATATGTGTCTGTAACAATGACCAAATGAATCTGAAGTAATTTGATGATAGTGGTAGAGCAGGGTTTCCAGGAGTTTCCTTTGTTGATTGGCTACACATTGTTCTCATACAATATACTTATATAAAGTAGAATACTCCTCTTTCTATATTGTTGAATACATGTACATTGTACATTTAACTGTGCAGTCAACTCAGTCCTAGAAAGATTCATTGTTGAATTCTGTGCATGTGCAGGTATCTGTTGAACAGCGTCACACTTGGGGTACGTTCATAACTAATGGCTGTTGGGGTGGGGTGTGTGTGTGTTGTTGATGATTTTTATGGAGGAGGAGGTTCAATGTGAAGGCCCCCCACCCCCCCTAAAATGTATGTACAAAGTAAGTGGACCCTCCCTGCTTGACATGTACAAAATCAACCCTTTTCATGTACAAAATTGCTGACCCTCCCTAGTACATATGTACAAAATTGATGATGCCCCCTTACCTCCCAGAACAGAATGGATGATCCACCCTTAAAATCATCATCACGGCCCCCTAGACATAAATGGTTCCTTGGCAATATTCCTGCTGAAGGTCTATTCAAAATTGTGTCTGGGATTCTCCTGTTAATGACACTGAGCAATGTTCAGGGTATGTTGACAAGTCGGCAACACGTCGGACCAACTGATCCCTTTAGCCAACTCATTTCTCATTTGACGTGCACTGGTTGCTAAGTACCAACCCATGGGGCCTGCCCATTGCTTGTCTCGAGCCACTGGGTAACTTGATGGCTGTTTTTTGTTTTAGGGGTATGTCATTGTTGAGGATTTCTTCACACGAGAGGAGATGGATCCGTGCCGTACCGCTATAGAGGGTCTCGTAGAAGAACTGGCTCAGAAGCTCTTCAAGGCAGGAAAAATCACAGGTAGGTTGCCCAGAGTGAGTAGTGAGTGAGTGAATGAAACTGATGAAAGTGGGAATAGTTTGTACATGTCATATGTTCCTGATGCAGATTTTGCTATCATCTGGTTTATTTTGGCCAAGGCATCAATGTACATGATGTGTTTATGGTGACATTTTGTCTCTCTTGTAGAATTCATTCGATACCTGACCAATTTAATTGTATGTTGTATTTACCTTTATGCTGTTATCCTCTTGAGCAGTATTTACTTTTATGCTGTTATCCCCTTGCGTGGTATTTACTTTTATGCTGTTATCCCCTTGAGCGGTATTTACCTTTATGCTGGTATTTACGGTTTATGCTGTTATTATCCCCTTTGTATTTACTTGATGCTGTTATTGCGCGGTATTTACTTTTATGCTGTTATCCCTTGAGCGGTATTTACCTTTATGCTGTTATCCCTTGCGTGGTATTTACTTTTATGCTGTTATCCCTATGCATGGTATTTATCTTTATGCTGTTATCCCTTGAGCGGTATTTACCTTTATGCTGTTATACCCCCTTGAGCGGTATTTACCTTTATGCTGTTATCCCCTTGCGTGGTATTTACTTTTATGCTGTTATCCCTTGAGCGGTATTTACCTTTATGCTGTTATCCCCTTGAGCGGTATTTACCTTTATGCTGTTATCCCCATGCATGGTATTTATCTTTATGCTGTTATCCCCATGCGTGGTATTTATCTTTATGCTGTTATCCCCATGCATGGTATTTATCTTTATGCTGTTATCCCCATGTGTGGTATTTATCTTTATGCTGTTATCCCCTGTATTTACCTTTATGCTGTTATCCCCATGTGTGGTATTTATCTTTATGCTGTTATCCCCATGCGTGGTATTTACCTTTATGCTGTTATCCCCTTGCATGGTATTTACCTTTATGCTGTTATCCCATTGCATGGTATTTATCTTTATGCTGTTATCCCTTGAGCGGTATTTACCTTTATGCTGTTATCCCCATGCATTGTATTTATCTTTATGCTGTTATCCCCTTGAGTGGTATTTACCTTTATGCTGTTATCCCCTTGAGCGGTATTTACCTTTATGTATTTATCTTTATGCTGTTATCCCCTTGCTTTATGCGGTATCCCCTTTTGTATTTATCCCCTTTATGCTGTTATCCTGTTATCCCCTTGAGGTATTTACCTTTATGCTGTTATCCCCTTGAGCGGTATTTACCTTTATGCTGTTATCCCCTTGAGCGGTATTTACTTGATGCTGTTATCCCCTTGAGCGGTATTTACCTTTATGCTGTTATCCTCTTGAGCGGTATTTACCTTTATGCTGTTATCCCCTTGCATGGTATTTATCTTTATGCTGTTATCCCCTTGAGCGGTATTTACCTTTATGCTGTTATCCCCTTGAGTGGTATTTACCTTTATGCTGTTATCCCTTTGAGCGGTATTTACCTGATGCTGCATTCAGTTTGTTTTCACTGCATGCTGTAGTTGCCCTAAGCTGTATTCACTCTATGTTAGCAGTGGGGTAGCCTTGTGACGCAGAGACCCAGACTCGATTCGCCAATGTGTGAAGCCCATTTCAAGTGTTCCCCCGTTGTGATATTGCTGTAATATTGCTAAAAGAGGCGTAAAACCGTACTCATTCACTCTATGTTATATTCATTATGTGTTGTTAATGTTGTACACATTCTGTGCTTTATCCACTGTTTCAAGTGGAGCGGTTGGGTAGCCAGCCTAGTAGTGAAAGTGTTCGCATGTCATGCCCACGCTCCCAATTCCCATCATTGGCACTATGTTATGAAGCTCATTTCTGGCTTCCCCTGCTGTTAATAGTGTTATATAGCTGGAATGTTGCTAATAGCGATGTTAAAACACGACCCACTACAAACATTTTGATAGGGGCATACCGAAGGAGTGTCATGACAAACAACCAAACCACAACTCACTCAGTCACTCAGTCACTCACTGTTGCAAGCCAGTCTGTATTCTCCCACGCCTGTTTTCACTCCAAAACAGTTTCATCCTGTACTATGTTCTGCCTGTGTTGTTTTCATCCTGTGTTGTTTTCACCCTGTGTACAGCCTGTGTTGTTTTCACCCTGTGTACAGCCTGTGTTGTTTTCATCCTGTGTTCACCCTGTGTTGTTTTCATCCTGTGTTGTTTTGACCCTGTGTACAGCCTGTGTTGTTTTGACCCTGTGTACAGCCTGTGTTGTTTTCATCCTGTGTTCATCCTGTGTTGTTTTCATCCTGTGTTGTTTTCACCCTGTGTTGTTTTCATCCTGTGTACAGTCTGTGTTGTTTTCATCCTGTGTTCATCCTGTGTTGTTTTCATCCTGTGTTGTTTTCACCCTGTGTACAGCCTGTGTTGTTTTCATCCTGTGTTCATCCTGTGTTGTTTTCATCCTGTGTTGTTTTCATCCTGTGTTGTTTTCTTCAGCCGTGTTGTTTTCACCCTGTGTACAGCCTGTGTTGTTTTCACCCTGTGTTCATCCTGTGTTGTTTTCACCCTGTGTTGTTTTCATCCTGTGTACAGCCTGTGTTGTTTTCACCCTGTGTACAGCCTGTGTTGTTTTCACCCTGTGTACAGCCTGTGTTGTTTTCACCCTGTGTACAGCCTATGTTGTTTTCATCCTGTGTTCATCCTGTGTTGTTTTCACCCTGTGTTGTTTTCATCCTGTGTACAGCCTGTGTTGTTTTCACCCTGTGTACAGCCTGTGTTGTTTTCACCCTGTGTACAGCCTGTGTTGTTTTCATCCTGTGTTCATCCTGTGTTGTTTTCACCCTGTGTTGTTTTCATCCTGTGTACAGCCTGTGTTGTTTTCACCCTGTGTACAGCCTGTGTTGTTTTCAGCCTGTGTTGTTTTCACCCTGTGTACAGCCTGTGTTGTTTTCACCCTGTGTACAGCCTGTGTTGTTTTCAGCCTGTGTTGTTTTCACCCTGTGTACAGCCTGTGTTGTTTTCACCCTGTGTACAGCCTGTGTTGTTTTCATCCTGTGTTTTCACCCTGTGTTGTTTTCACCCTGTGTTGTTTTCATCCTGTGTTGTTTTCACCCTGTGTTGTTTTCGCCCTGTGTTGTTTTCATCCTGTGTTCTTTTCATCCTGTGTTGTTTTCACCCTGTGTACAGCCTGTGTTGTTTTCACCCTGTGTTGTTTTCATCCTGTGTTCATCCTGTGTTGTTTTCATCCTGTTGTTTTCATCCTGTGTTGTTTTCACCCTGTGTTGTTTTCACCCTGTGTTGTTTTCGTCCCATGTTGTTTTCACCCTGTGTTGTTTTCACCATGTGTTGTTTTCATCCTGTGTTGTTTTCATCTTGTGCTGCGTGCAGCCTGTGTAGTTTTCACCCCGTGCTTTGTTCAGCTTGTGTTGTTTTCATCCTGTGTTGTTTTCACCCTGTGTTCATCCTGTGTTGTTTTCACCCTGTGTTCAGCCTGTGTTGTTTTCACCCTGTGTTGTTTTCACCCTGTGTTCAGCCTGTGTTGTTTTCATCCTGTGTTGTTTTCACCCTGTGTTCATCCTGTGTTGTTTTCATCCTGTGTTGTTTTCATCCTGTATTGTTTTCACCCTGTGTACAGCCTGTGTAGTTTTCACCCTGTGTTGTTTTCACCCTGTGTACAGCCTTGTTGTTTTCACCCTGTGTACAGCCTGTGTTGTTTTCACCCTGTGTACAGCCTGTGTTGTTTTCACCCTGTGTACAGCCTGTGTTGTTTTCACCCTGTGTACAGCCTGTGATGTTTTCATCCTGTGTTTTCACCCTGTGTTGTTTTCACCCTGTGTTGTTTTCATCCTGTGTTGTTTTCACCCTGTGTTCTTTTCATCCTGTGTTGTTTTCACCCTGTGTACAGCCTGTGTTGTTTTCACCCTGTGTTGTTTTCATCCTGTGTACAGCCTGTGTTGTTTTCATCCTGTGTTCATCCTGTGTTGTTTTCATCCTGTGTTGTTTTCACCCTGTGTACAGCCTGTGTTGTTTTCATCCTGTGTTCATCCTGTGTTGTTTTCATCCTGTGTTGTTTTCACCCTGTGTACAGCCTGTGTTGTTTTCACCCTGTGTTCATCCTGTGTTGTTTTCACCCTGTGTTGTTTTCATCCTGTGTACAGCCTGTGTTGTTTTCACCCCTGTGTACAGCCTGTGTTGTTCACCCTGTGTACAGCCTGTTGTTTTCATCCTGTGTTCATCCTGTGTTGTTTTCACCCTGTGTTGTTTTCATCCTGTGTACAGCCTGTGTTGTTTTCACCCTGTGTACAGCCTGTGTTGTTTTCACCCTGTGTACAGCCTGTGTTGTTTTCATCCTGTGTTCATCCTGTGTTGTTTTCACCCTGTGTTGTTTTCATCCTGTGTACAGCCTGTGTTGTTTTCACCCTGTGTACAGCCTGTGTTGTTTTCAGCCTGTGTTGTTTTCACCCTGTGTACAGCCTGTGTTGTTTTCACCCTGTGTACAGCCTGTGTTGTTTTCACCCTGTGTTGTTTTCACCCTGTGTACAGCCTGTGTTGTTTCACCCTGTGTACAGCCTGTGTGTTTTCATCCTGTGTTTTCACCCCTGTGTTGTTTTCACCCTGTGTTGTTTTCATCCTGTGTTGTTTTCACCCTGTGTTGTTTTCACCCTGTGTTGTTTTCATCCTGTGTTGTTTTCATCCTGTGTTGTTTTCACCCTGTGTACAGCCTGTGTTGTTTTCACCCTGTGTTGTTTTCATCCTGTGTTCATCCTGTGTTGTTTTCATCCTGTTGTTTTCATCCTGTGTTGTTTTCACCCTGTGTTGTTTTCGTCCCATGTTGTTTTCACCCTGTGTTGTTTTCACCATGTGTTGTTTTCATCCTGTGTTGTTTTCATCTTGTGCTGCGTGCAGCCTGTGTAGTTTTCACCCCGTGCTTTGTTCAGCTTGTGTTGTTTTCATCCTGTGTTGTTTTCACCCTGTGTTCATCCTGTGTTGTTTTCACCCTGTGTTCAGCCTGTGTTGTTTTCACCCTGTGTTGTTTTCACCCTGTGTTCAGCCTGTGTTGGTTTCACCCTGTGTTGTTTTCACCCTGTGTTCATCCTGTGTTGTTTTCATCCTGTGTTGTTTTCATCCTGTATTGTTTTCACCCTGTGTACAGCCTGTGTAGTTTTCACCCTGTGTTGTTTTCACCCTGTGTACAGCCTTTGTTGTTTTCACCCTGTGTACAGCCTGTGTTGTTTTCACCCTGTGTACAGCCTGTGTTGTTTTCACCCTGTGTACAGCCTGTGTTGTTTTCATCCTGTGTTTTCACCCTGTGTTGTTTTCACCCTGTGTTGTTTTCATCCTGTGTTGTTTTCACCCTGTGTTGTTTTCACCCTGTGTTCTTTTCATCCTGTGTTGTTTTCACCCTGTGTACAGCCTGTGTTGTTTTCACCCTGTGTTGTTTTCATCCTGTGTTCATCCTGTGTTGTTTTCATCCTGTTGTTTTCACCCTGTGTTGTTTTCGTCCCATGTTGTTTTCACCCTGTGTTGTTTTCACCATGTGTTGTTTTCATCCTGTGTTGTTTTCATCTTGTGCTGCGTGCAGCCTGTGTAGTTTTCACCCCGTGCTTTGTTCAGCTTGTGTTGTTTTCATCCTGTGTTGTTTTCACCCTGTGTTCATCCTGTGTTGTTTTCACCCTGTGTTCATCCTGTGTTGTTTTCACCCTGTGTTCAGCCTGTGTTGTTTTCACCCTGTGTTCAGCCTGTGTTGTTTTCACCCTGTGTTCATCCTGTGTTGTTTTCACCCTGTGTTCATCCTGTGTTGTTTTCATCCTGTGTTGTTTTCATCCTGTATTGTTTTCACCCTGTGTTGTTTTCACCCTGTGCTTTGTTCATGTTGTGCTGTACTTGAACTTCTGTTCTGTTGGTAGATACATACAAGGATCTTGGATTCTTTCAAAGACTGACCCAGTTGGAGAAGGATTTCCCAGGTACAAACGTCCTCCTGCACAAGCTGGGCAAGCTCCCTCAGGTGAGGAAACTACTCATGACCATTAGCTCACACACCTTGGGATGATGGCAATAATTTGTAGTCAACTCCATCGATTTGATTTATATTTTGTTTAACACCTCACTCAGCAATATTCCAGCTTTATGGGGGCGGTCTGTAAATAATCGCGTGTGGATTAGACAATCCAGTGATCAAAAGCATGAGCATCAATCTACGCAATTGGGATACGATAACATGTGTCAACCAAGTCAGTGAGCCTGACCACCCGTCCTGTTACAAGCATGGGACCAATTCTGAAGATCAATTCTAACCTGGATCTTCACAGGTTCTGTCAGTGAGCATAATAAGGGTCCCTCCATGCTCTTCACATGTTCCATTATTATGATACAGTCAGGGGTATAAATAACCCATTGCCCGACATCCGAGTCCAGTGGTTTTTTCTGTCGGGCAAGCAAATTTGTGTATCACACTGTACCGGTGTCCAGTGGACTTTCCAATGTTAATTATTTTGTTTATTTAAAAAATCAGCAACAAAACGGTCGGTATAGTGGAAACATTATCAGGGCAAGTGACTTTCAATGTGCCACTGTACCGGAGTACACTAGCAATTTTAAAGTTATTTCCACCCCTGTACAGCCCCTGGACTCTTTCTCCGTAAAAGCTTTGTTCGAGACAATCTTATGCTATCTGACAGTATTATTTCTTTTCTCATGACTGTTGAACACTTTCTTTTATCATTGTGTAATATTGGAGCGATCGATCGTATAATCGGTCAATTGATCGATCTCGCTTGCGTCAGCGATTATTAATGGGCTCGTTAGACTAATCATTATTCTTAAAAAATGAAATATCAAATTAAACTTTAGAAAGTGTGTTTCTTCTTGTTATGTTTGTTATATCAAGACATAAACATATATTGCAGTTTCCTGACTCAATAAACTGCAGTGTAAACAACATACTGGAGTACGTGTGTCAGCAGGAAGCGTCCTTGATCATTTTGATCGTAGTATTGATTGGTGCCTGCTTTGTTTGCGCAATGTGATGATTGTGTCCCGTTTTTGTCCATTTGAGTTCTGTGGTGGGGTTTACGATTACAATTGATTGATTACTGAGCTCTGAATATTGATCTGCATATGTGCTCGAAGACCAGCACTATCATTGTGTCCTTAGGGCTTAAGTGGAAGCTATGGTAACAAATGGGTACAAGGTATTCATAAGAATGGAATGGAGGTATAAATAATACACTCAATAACCCTCACCACTGACTTACAACTAAAGATGTTTAATCCAAAGTTATATCTGATATGTTCTACGACTGTCACAGCAAACCTGTATATTAGATCTGACTAAGGAGTTCTGGTGGTTAAGGTAGATCACATGGTTGATGCAGGTCATCGTATCCCAGTCACATAGATTGATGCTCATGACGTCAATCACTAGATTCCCATGTCCAGACCTGATAATTTACAGGTCGTTGTCATATTGCTGAATGTGACAGAAAAATAAAAAAAATGAATTATAATAATAGAAATCGTTATTTTGATTACTTTCTGGAGAACTGCAATTTTGAATGTATATCTGGAACGTAAGAACAGCCAGTAGTTCCTCCTTTTATGGTTTGCATTGTTTTTCACGACAGGCATTTCGAAACCTGTGGTCTAACGAGCGCTTGCTCAATGTGATAGAGCAGCTGCTTGGCCCGGACATTGCAGGACATCCGGTGTGGAATCTTCGGACAAAGACACCCCAGAATGAGGCTACAACGGTTCCTTGGCACCAAGGTATCTATAGAGTACTCTGTATCAAAGAATAGTAAGACTGAAAGGCGAGTCATGCAGGAATCTCTCAATACAAGGGCTGTGGGGTAGCATACTGTTGTCACATAGAGATACTCAAGGATTTATATGGAGAAACATGTGACCCCCCTTTAAAATCATCATCACCCCCCAGCCATAAATTATGAACGGCCCTGATGTAGGCTATAGATTGTGTATACCTGAACAGTGGCTCTGTGAGGTCCTCTCACTTAGTAGTCCTTAGTGTCCTTTATGTGGAGTGTCTGTATTAAACAGGTTGTCTATGTTGATAGTTATTGATATCTGTAGATTGTGTATACCTGAACAGTGGCTCTGTGAGGTCCTCTCACTTAGAAGTCCTTAGTGTCCTTTATGTGGAGTGTCTGTATTAAACAGGTTGACTATGTTGATAGTTATTGATATCTGTAGATTGTGTATACCTGAACAGTGTCTCTGTGAGGTCCTCTCACTTAGTAGTCCTTAGTGTCCTTTATGTGGAGTGTCTGTATTAAACAGGCTGACAATGTTGATAGTTATTGATATCTGTAGATTGTGTATACCTGAACAGTGGCTCTGTGAGGTCCTCTCACTTAGTAGTCCTTAGTGTCCTTTATGTGGAGTGTCTGTATTAAACAGGTTGACTATGTTGATAGTTATTGATATCTGTAGATTGTGTATACCTGAACAGTGGCTCTGTGAGGTCCTCTCACTTAGAAGTCCTTAGTGTCCTTTATGTGGAGTGTCTGTATTAAACAGGTTGACTATGTTGATAGTTATTGATATCTGTAGATTGTGTATACCTGAACAGTGGCTCTGTGAGGTCCTCTCACTTAGTAGTCCTTAGTGTCCATTTATGTGGAGTGTCTGTATTAAACAGGCTGACAATGTTGATAGTTATTGATATCTGTAGATTGTGTATACCTGAACAGTGGCTCTGTGAGGTCCTCTCACTTAGAAGTCCTTAATGTCCATTTTGTGAAGTGTCCATATTAAACAGGTTGACAATAATGATTGTAATTGATTCCTGTAGATTGTGCATACTTGGACAATGAGTCCTATGAGGTCCTCTCACCTACAAGTAGTTAGGTCCTCTCACCTACAAGTCCTTAATGTCCATTTTGTGAAGTGTCCATATTAAACAGGTTGACAATAATGATTGTCATTGATTCCTGTAGATTGTGCATACCTGGACAATGAGTCCTATGAGGTCCTCTCACCTACAAGTCCTTAATGTCCATTTTGTGAAGTGTCCATATTAAACAGGTTGACAATAATTTTGTGTCCTATGAGGTCCTCTCACCTACAAGTCCTTAATGTCCATTTTGTGAAGTGTCCATATTAAACAGGTTGACAATAATGATTGTCATTGATTCCTGTAGATTGTGCATACTTGGACAATGAGTCCTATGAGGTCCTCTCACCTACAAGTCCTTAATGTCTATTTTGTGAAGTGTCCATATTAAACAGGTTGACAATAATGATTGTAATTGATTCCTGTAGATTGTGCATACCTGGACAATGAGTCCTATGAGGTCCTCCAGCCTACAGCTTGGATCCCACTGCTAGACGCCACAGAAGAGAATGGCTGTATGCAGGTACTGCTGTTATGAAGGGGTCTATCTGCCCCAAACATATTTTCAGTTCTTATTTCTTACACCTTCCTCTCTTGAATGTTCAGATAAAGCAAAATATCAAGACATGAACATCACACCATGGTAGTCAAATATGAATTGATGCTGTGTTTGAAGCCTGAATTGGGACTTTTTGAGCATTCACTCAGGATTAAAATACAATGTAATGAAATTATGTACCCTTTTCACTTCTGATTCTGATGTTTAAAAAAGGTGCTCAGGAATATATATGTTTTATTAGTAAGTGTTTGTAATTTGATTTTTTAAAAGTGAAGCAGATGACAGTGTTTGGTAAACTTGGTTTGACCCTACACTGGAACATATGTTAACAATTGCTTCACGTAGTCATGAAACTGCTTTCAAAGTGTGATGTGGCCCATCAGGCCCTTGCTGCTACACTTGTTTATTCCATAGGGGGTTCAGAATATATTCCTGACGTATCAGTTGACTGTTGTAGAAATAAAGTATTTAGCATGATTCAAGAGGAGGGATCTGGTGCATTAAATACACTTGTTATTAATATTCGTTATTAAAAGTTCACTTTCGAATCTCTGTTTCTGGCTGCAGGTTGCAGTTGGGGGTCACCGCAGTGGAAAGATTGCCACTCATCAGTGTTGCTATGGCGGCACATGGTACGTCATGCTGGAGGAAGAGGAAATGGTGAAATCTCTGGGTAATCATGTTGACATTGCTATGATAAACAGTCTCAGTATATCGTGCGGACAAGGACCCGTGAAGGTCCCGGGTTAGAATTGATCTTCAGTAACCCATGCTTGTTGTAAAAGGCGACTATGCTTGTCGTAAGAGGTGGTCAGGCTCGCTGACTTGGTTGACACATGTCAGCGGTTCCCAATTGCGCAGATCGATGCTGATGCTGTTGATCACTGGATTGTCTGGTCCAGACTTGATTATTTACAGACCGCCGCCATATAGCTGGAATATTGCTGAGTGCGGCGTAAAACTAAACTGACTCAACTCACTCGTGCAGACAAGCACAGAGTGTAGGGAAGAAATTAGAATTATTGATCTTCAGCAATACTAGTCATAAGAGGACACCACTGGGTGGCCAGACTCAGTAACTTGGTTGATGCTTGTCATCGTATCCAGGGATGATGTGGTAGCCTAGTGGTCAAAGCTTTTGCACGTTATGCAGAAGACCCGGGTTGGAGTCCCCACATGGGTACAATGTGTGAAGTCCATTTCTTGTGTCCCTGCAGTGATATTGTTGTAATATTGCTAAATAGATGTTGCTGTTCTACCAACAAGTAGTCCCCCCTCGTAAGAAATAGCGATTGGTGACAATAAAATGCTGATTGTTTGTTTAACAACTTTTTTATTCGGGTGTCTAACATTATGAGACAGATCATCAGAGTTGGTCTGTCGATTTCATGTGACTGTGCAAAATTTAGTTTTGTTGCAATTATTAGATTTGTGTTAGTGAGCAGTTCATCGGTCTCAAATGAAATCGAACAGACTGTAATTAAAGTTTCAATGATTATATCATGGCATTTTAGCCTATAATGCATGGGCACAATGTGTGAAGCCCATTTCTGGTGTCCCCCCGCCGTGATATTGCTTGAATATTGCTAAAAGCGGCGTAAAACCCAACTCACTCACTCACTTAGCCTATAATGCGAGGAAAACCCATAGTGATGGATGGTTTAGAATTACATCACCTTATGTGTGCATGTGCATCATTGGTGTTTGTTGCGTCAAACTTGCCTACTATCAGATTGAAAGCGTTCGCTCGTCACGCCGAAGACCTGGGTTTGATTCCCCACATGGGTACCATGTGTGAAGCCCATGTCTGGTGTGCCCCACCGTGATATTGCTGGAATATTGCTGAAAGCGGCGTAAAACCATACTCACACACTCACTCACTCACTTTCTTGAGGGGGCGGTGGGGTAGCCTAGTGGTTAAAGTATTCGCTCGCCTCGCTGAAGACCCGGGTTTGATTCCCCACATGGGTACAATGTTTGAAGTCCATTTCTGGTGTCCCCCGCCGTGATATTGCTGGAATATTGCTGAAAGCACCGTTAAACTAAACTCACTCTCTACTGTCGGATTGACCAACTTGCTGTAACTTTGACCATATGAACATAATGTTTGACAATGCCAGGTTATATTGATAGTCTCTTGCCTCTCTTGACACAGGCGTTGACCTGAAGAAGGACATTCTGACTTGCCCCATTCCCTATGGAGGTTTCCTTCTGTTCAACAATGCGATTCCACACAGGAGGTATGTATATGGTCAAGGTGACCTCACAGCTTACTTTACCCTGCTTATATTCCAGGATTCTATACTTGGCATTGTGGACAACTATTGGTTTCTGTCTTGGTTTTCTTCACAGTTTACAGATTCACTGTCTGTATATACAACATGTGAATTGAAGATGAAACATACTGAAGTTGTTCCCACAGTCATTAGCGGCAGGGCAGGGCAGGGCAGGGCAGGGCAGGGCAGGGCAGGGCAGGGCAGGGCAGGGGCAGGGCAGGGCAGGGCAGGGCAGGGCAGGGCAGGGCAGGGCAGGGCAGGGCAGGGCAGGGCAGGGCAGGGCAGGGCAGGGCAGGGCAGAAAATATCAATAATCCTGAGTGTACAGATAAAAACACTCAGAGCTCGAAAATTCCACTCGTCCGCTCGTATTGATGAGTAAAATTTGTTTTGGGCAACTGAATTTGCTCGTCGTAGAGGACGAGTATGTTTTCTGACCCAACTATTTTTCAAAACAAAACGTTTTGACATCTTCATTCCCGATGAGCAGTATGTTCAAATTCCCAGAAAACTACACGCAATGTTTAGGCCTTGATGTGCGTTTGGTATCCATTTTTAACAGATATCATGCAGCATGGGTTTGTAACCTAAATGCTTCGAATATCATGATTGGCTGCTATTAATAAACTGACCAATGAGAAAAATCATCTCAACATGAATGTTACTACTGTCAAATCAGAATAAGCTTTATAGTAGGGAATTCCCTGCTTCTTATTACCAATTGTTTGTCGTAGTGAACTTTTCTTTTGGGTGATGATTTGTTTTTATTATTATACATAGGTAATTTGCAGGTTAGATAAAATGCTTGATATATTTTGCGATGTACACTTTTACCATGTAACTAAAATTAGATTAAACAAAGGTTTTGTACAGAAGACAAAGTAAGTAATGTTTATTGTAGTTTTATTCCAAACAAACATTTTGAAATAAAATAATTCAAATTTACATTCATTGTGTTGCATGATCTATAGGGCAAGTACAATTTTAGAAGGATGACTGGAAAGTTCATATTACTTGCCCCGCAATTTTTCAAGCCCTGACACTTCATCACAAATACATGCTTGCTAAAATGTGACTTTCTAGATTGATAAACTAGATACAATACTAAAATCATTCGCTCAATACTATGAGGTTGTAAAAAGGATGAGGGGTGGTGAGGAAGCCTAGTGGTTAAAGCGTTTGCTCATCATGCTGAAGACCAGGTTTGATTCTCCACATGGGTACTATGTGTGAAGTCCATTTCCCTGCCGTGATATTGCTGGAATATTGCTAAAAGTGATGTCAAATTAAACTCACTCACTCACTCAACCACCAAACTACTCCCTCACTCACTCTGTTTCTAGTCTTCCGAATCTGTCCCAAGACATCCGATGGAGTTTAGATCTCAGATGGCAGCGACCAGACAAACCAGTTGGCTTCTATGGGATCAAGGACAGCATTCTAATGAGGTCATCGGCAGACTCTGATCATGTGATCAACTGGGATCCGTTTGACGAGGTGGACAGGCATGAGAAAGCTAAAGCAGAAGCTCCGAAAATAAATCCAGTAAGTTTAAGAATGAGGATTTTCTTTAAAGATTGCCATCGGAAGAAGTTGAACCTATACATGTTCAAATTGTCCTTCCCTTAGGTCTTGGTTTGTGCTAAGTTGGATTTGGTGGTCAGGTTGTGAGACTAGACTAATTGCATGACAATTACTTATGCTTTAGGCTTTGAATTTTCTGGTTCTGACCTGGGTATTTACATACCTCGAGATATAGCTGGAATATTTTGGTGGATTCCGGTGTTATACAACAAACTCACCTTCTAGCATCTTGTGACCCGTGAAGTAGCCCATTCTTGTTGTAAGAGGTGACTAACGGATCGGGTCGTCAGGCTCGCTGACTTGGTTCACACATGTCATCATATTCCAATTGCGTAGATCGATGCTCGTGCTGTTGATCACTGGATCGTCTGGTCCAGACTCGATCATTTACAGACTGCCTCCATTAAGCTGGAATATTGCTGAGTGTGGCGTGAAACTATACTCACTCACTCACTCTAGAATCTTGTATGTCATGTGATGAATATCAAACCAGTCAGACATTTCAGATTGCTTTTATTATGGATCCCACTTTTTATCTTTCAGGAATCGGTTTCGTTGCCACTGTTAATAGTTTCTTGACCATTTTTTATATAATTGACAACTTTTATCAAAATGAGGTATTTAAGATGTGACCACTTAACTCAGCTTTCTAATAGTGACATATTTTTAAACTTATCCCATCTCACGACTTGCACCTCTCTCTCTTGCTTCGACTTTTAGTGGAACGACTGTAAACTGTTTTCCATAGGCCTCCTTGTCCATTCGCCCTTGCACTCCATGCTGCTCTCCTTAATTAGCTTCCTAGTTCCTAATAAAGCTTGCAGCATGCTCCACTAATTGCCCACATGACTACCTTGAATGATCATTCTCTTTCTTGTCGCACGACTGTGTGGACGTGCTGTATATTAGGGACATTATTTCACCCTAACTTCATGGGGAAAACTGATAATCAGTCAAGGAAAAGGAAAGTTTGTGCTCAATGCAAGACAAATTATTTGTCCCTCGACCCTCACCTGTCTTTCAGTGACTGTATTGGACAATTTAACTGAAACAAACGATGTGGCAAGTGTAATTCACTAAAAGATGAGGATTTTAAGGCCTACCTTCGTGTTTGCTCCCGGAGAATCGCCGATAGGGACAGGAAATCCACAGAATCTGGTCACACTCCCGTATAAGTTACAGCGACAGAAAATCGTACCTTCACACAAGAGAGCGACGTCTGCGGTTCAAGAGGATTTTATGGACGCTTCATCAGATTCTTACTTATCTGAGGACATTCGGCACCTATTACGTATGCATCAATCACCTCCTTCCATAGCGTCAGATCACTCGCAGGTGGTTGTGACCGACAATTCTTCGTTGCCTGTCCCATCTACACTACCAGGGGACCTTAGATCGACACTATCATCGTCCAGATCATCGGTACATATCCCCTCGACTGTCTCAGTTTGTTTGGAGCCTGGCCAACCGCGTTCAACCAGCCAACTGTCTCCCCACAGTTCATTGAACCGGACAGAGCTGGCACTGAATGGATCCAGATCACAACTACGAATCAGATCACCGCACCGATCTAGGTCACCTAACCGATCCAGGTCACAACATCGAAGTAGATCGCCAGACCGATCCAGATCACCAAATCAAGCCAGATCGCAACTGCAAACCAGATCACCTGTTCGATCCAGATCACCTTATAGATCCAGATCACAATCACAGGTTCCAGTTAGTGCATCGAATCGATCCAGATCACTGTACAAATGCAGATCATCTTACCAACCCAGGTCACCTATACGATCTAGATCACCTTACAGAGCCATTGACCAATCGGGATCACAGTACAGATCCACATCTCATGGCCGATCCTATTCATATGGTTGAACCAGAGCTCCAATCAGAACCAGATCACCAACTAGAACTACAGCGACCCGGACTAGTTCTTCATATCATACCGGATCACCTAGCCATACTAGGGAATCCAGATCACCGGCTTACCAACCTACTTCGGTACTTACCACGTCGAGATCTCGATACAGTTCCTCTGACTGACGTTCGGGTGATCATTGCTCTGATACCACTAATAGGCCTACAGTCTCTTACGATGTTCCGTCTACACGCTCTGAGAATCCTTCGACTCACTCTAGGATCATCGCTGAGTCATGGGAACCTGATAAAAATTCCACTCCTACAGCGACTTCGGATCTAAATATGATGATAAGGGCCATAACCTCAGCCTGGAACCAAATACAGCCGTCTACTCCAGCCCATCCGGCTCCGGTAGCTCCTGGCTCTTCATCTGGTCCACCTCCTGAGATTGATCCAGTCCAAATAGCCATGCCTGCATCTCCCGCTCACTCTGAGTTATCTACCCCTGGGGGTAGCTTTGCAGCAGTTGTGACACCTCAGGTACTCCTTTGGATTGTTGAGAAGCTCCAACTTCCCTTGAGTACTTCAGCAGATGACCTGGATCACTCTTATACTCTTAGGATCCGGGATTGGTTTACCATCACCCTACCACCTCGACCTTGTATTCTGAATTATCCAGTACACTAAATGATGGTTTCAAGAGCCTGAAATGAATTAAGGACGGACTCTCTGCTCCCAGATATAATCCTTCTACCTCTCATGTCCACGGCCTGACAAAAATCTCTACAGCTCGAACAGTTGATGAGGATATTGGAACCCTGTGTGGCAAACGAGCAGCTTTGCCCTACCTTATTGACGACCGAGAGTTGGCTCACATGGATTCAGCCATGAGAAAGACCTTGCCATCTATTAGTTGCGTGATTGCAGCAGTCGATGCTGTTAACACTGCTCTGGAGCGTACTTACTCTCATCAAGACGCTTACATCCGAGGATGCATGACTTTAGCTCTGGACCAGTTCCAAATTATCCTGGATCAGTTGTCTCATTTTTTGGGCTACAGTCTTGCTGTTTGCCGACGTGGATCCCTTAACATCTCTTCATGGGAGGAGTGATTTAAAACAGAACTGTTTCGCCAGCCTTGGTTTACTGACTCCCTCTTCAATGGTAGTATCCAAGAAGTATCTAATAAAGTTGATAAAGGAACCCACTTTCAAGTCTCGATTGAACTGTTAAAGATACAGAAGTCACAGCTCCAGGACTCATTTAAACAGCGTCGAACTGCACAGTTCACCCCTACCAATCCGGATTTACACAATCTTTTTCGTGGCGCATCCACTCAAGGCCGTGGCAGAGGAAACAGATCTGGACGTGGTGGTTCCTCCCATCGCCAGTCCCCAGTCGTTCCGCTTTACAACACTCCGGTAGGCGGGAGATTGCAGATCTTCGCCCCGAATTGGACCATCCTCAAAGATCCGTACGTCACCAACCTGCTACTTCACAGCTATCAGCTACCCGTTTTTGGAAGTCCACCTCTGACGTCGCATCCGGCTCATCGCTCATATTCTGTGGACCCGCTTCAGACTCTGCAATCCACAATAGGTACGCTATTAGACAAATTCGCGATAGAGCTCCTAGGTCCATTGCCCATCACTCCAGGATTCTACTCCCTCATCTTCTTGGTTCAAAAGAAAAATTCCAACAAACTCGGGCTCATCTTCAATATGAAGTTGTTCAATGCCCGATTTCACTTCAGGATGGTGTCGATCAACCTTTATGCACCATCCTAAAGGAGGGAGACTTCCTCATCAGCCTAGATCTTCAGGATGCTTATCTTCCGATACACCACCGGAATCACTACCACTGGAACTTCCAGACTTTTACCCAATTACCAAGCCCATAACGAGTGTTCCACTTTCGATCATCTTCAAGCCTTTGCATCCAGGCTCAACATCCTATCAGATATTTCAGCCAGCTACAGTTCACCACCACGCTGCATCTGTTGAACATCGCAAAATCGGAACTATAGTTTTGCATGTGGACCCGTTTTTTTGTAAATATCTCTTCATCCAATGACCCAATCGATCTCAAACTGTGCAAGTGGATGTTTTGTCAGACAACCTAATCACATTGTAAATCACCGATTTTATGCATTTGTATTAGAGAACCTGTCTATGTAACTGTCAACAAAATAAACAGCAGACCGCAGACTGCTTGCAGAGGGAGGGAGCCAATGACCTGTAAATACGCAGTTGGGTTGGGTCATAAAGGTGAAAAACCGGGTCCACATGCACCTCACTTCAGGATGGTGTCGACTCGAACGGAATGTTTGCCGGAGTCTCTATGATGCCCTTTTGCACTGACTTCATCATCAACCTGTGGTTTATGCACCATCCTAAAGGAGGGAGGACTTCCATCTCATCAGCCTAGATCTTCAGGATGCTTATCTTCACGTTCCCATACATCCAGAACACTGGAAGTACTTTAAACCGTGTTCAACGGGAATCACTACCAATGGAAGCCATGAGTCACCCTCAGACCCTCAATCTACAAGTCCTACCATTTGGAATTTCCATGGCCCGCTGACTTTTATCTCTGCTACTAAGAAACTCAAGGGTACCAATTACCAAGCCCATACTCTCTGACCAGTCCGTTCAGACCTCCGCCTGGCTTCGGCCATATGTCCACTTTCAAGGGATCATCTTTGAAAGCTACATGGGTCTCCTTGGGACTTCATTGCATCCAGGCTCAACAGATTTTACACTCTGCCCTGTTAGGGCTCTACGTTTACCTTGCTGCCTTTAAGGATCATCGACGGCTATGGAAGCGCCTCTTCATACCCTTGCGTGCCACGATCCTGCGAGCCTACACCTTTGCAGGGTTGCCTCCTCCAGCCACTTCCAATCCTCATGAGACTCGTGCACTAGACTCGACGATGGCCTTCCATAGCAACTGCTCCTTGACCGCTATCATGGAAGGTTGCTTCTGGCGTTCTGATACAGTCTTCTCTTCACATTACCTGCGAGACCTGTCTGTCACTGATGTCCAGGGACTACACCAGTTCGGACCTCTTCTACTGGCTTAGCAGCTTACATCGGCCCAACAACGCAGATGAGGGACGGTTCCGCATTCAGGTTACTACTTCTTTGTATATACTGAATAAAAGTTGAACTGGATCTCAACCTTTTGTTGCCATTACAGTCATCCCTGTGCAATAACGCTCTTGTCGATACCAACCTAGATTCGGTTAAACCGCTGGGTAATCCGTGGCTCCCATAAAAAGTTGCCCAGTGAGAGAACCATATTGTAACTGATCGAAAATAGCACATCAACAAACCGCTGTTGAGCTCTGGTTAAGAGGGAGGGAGCCAGTAAACTAGTGAAATTCAGTGCGGATTGCAATTAACAGTGTTTATCGTATATATCCATGTTTTTTCAGATGCTTAAAACATGCTGGGTCTTTTTCAATAATAATTGATGAACAGCGAAACATTGTAATAACTTTATCATAAAGACATGTCGATTATCAGCCGAGTACTTACAACGTTTGCTATGATGCAACACACCGCTGCGTAATTGCGCTGGGTATACACCGCCATCCGAGAATGTATGATGTCAGAAAACACATTTTATTTGATTAAATTCACTCCCATTTTCATTCATTAAAACTGTTTACAATAACAACGGAGAAACCGTGAGTGAAATGGCATTACCTCATTCCATACAACACCCGCTTACCACATTCGTGAGGGTCCATTTTTCGCGCCTACCGCGAGAGCACCAATTTCACATTTTTCTCAGCAATCACGAACAGATTACAGCCTTGTCATCCATTGACCCCAAGACCCGCGTTATTGACTCGTTGAAGTCATATTTGACAATTAATTGCCAACATTTTGTTTTTACAATCAAAGTGGCACATACCGCGGGAAGTCAGCGGTGACTTGTCAAACTGTCTCCTACGTAAAATGTATCCAGCCAGGTAACCCAAAGTGCTTAGCAATGCTTATTATGATGTTAAATATGTTCGTAGAAAACATGCATTATACTTATACGATAGCAATATATAAGATCTCTGTTAGAATAACTGCTTGACATATCAATTATTCTGATAATGGAATAGAAATTCTTGGATGTTATATTTTCGGATCGTTTTTAAATGAATCACCGGTACATTGGACCAAAACATCGATGTGTGCCCAGCTGATTGCTATTTCCTGCTTAGTTGAATAACAGGTAGCATGACAGGAACAACAAATGAATTATCATGTCTTGTGGTGTTTGATTGTAAGTTTCATGTACATACATCTATTTTTTATTTACAAAGTTGTTGTTTTTTTCACCTCCAACGATATGATATAGTTTTGACTGGGCACAATACACGAAATAGCAGTTTTGTTATGTCCATGGAAAATACGATTTTACTTGGCCTTTGTTCCGCGTTATGTAATCGTTACTTATAATGCGGGTGTCTAATAACGCGGGGGTCATCCATGGAACCCAAGACCCGCGTTATGGCGAGGGATGCCTGTATATGGGTTTAAGAACTACTTCACTTGGCCTCCATACCAAGGCATCGGAATACGGCCACCTAGCGTGGCCCTACGGACCTGAGGCACAATCAGTATGACGATGCAGAGGTGTTCGACATTCACGCTTACTGACCTCTACTCCACGGAGTAATTACGTCAGTGAAGTGTGACACTCCCGAATTCCAGTGGATTTCATTGCATTCTGCCTCCAAAGTTGCCGGGCACATCCTTTGACTAAGCTTAGGCAAAGGAGTGAGGGTCAATTAGATGCTGCCTGGAACTGAACGTTAAACCTTGGAGATGCCGAGTTGTGTTTCTCTTTCACCTGCCTCTGGCGGTGTCTGGGGGGCCTTCTTGAAGCAGGGGCTGGCCCGACTCTAGTCGCAAGACTTTAATTACGGGATTACCTTGTAAATCATGGCGAGGCGAGGCTTACTTGCCGAGTTCCGTCCCTTGTCTTGTACAAGGTTGCGGCCGAACACCACATTGCTCAGGAGCACCCATCTCCCTGGGAGTTGTTGTGCTTAGTAAGCCAAGGGGTTCCGGAGAACCCACTACAAGCTAGGAGTTGCATGCATGCGTAACAGGCCTCCCTTGTACGTCGCTATCTACGGTTATCATCAATCCACACAGCTCCAAGACCAGCTGTTCGCACTGTCCAGACAGAAGGGTAATCTGCGGCCCGCCGTCCAACCATGGGATAAGTGCAAGTCGTGAGATAGGATAAGTTTAAAAATTTGGAAATTTTAATATAAATTGTATATTTATATACTTATCCTATCTCATGCGATGGATGCCTGCCCGGCCTCCCCACTACGCAGATTCCAACGTTGGCTCCAAGATGAGAATGATCATTCAAGGTAGTCATGTGGGCAATTAGTGGAGCATGCTGCAAGCTTTATTAGGAACTAGGAAGCTAATTAAGGAGAGCAGCATGGAGTGCAAGGGCGAATGGACAAGGAGGCCTATGGAAAACAGTTTACAGTCGTTCCACTAAAAGTCGAAGCAAGAGAGAGAGGTGCAAGTCGTGAGATAGGATAAGTATATAAATATACAATTTATATTAAAATTTCCAATATTGTATTTCTGGAATTTCCAATTCAATTATCAGCACTTAACATACACCCAAATGGAAGTAAATGCTTCACCCACTATCAGCAGACAGTTTCAGTTAATCTATTCTAAGACCTTATTTGGTAGCAGTTTATGGAAATATTTACATCACAAATATCTATGGCAGGACTTCCTCGTGTAGCAAGGAAATGAATCAACAATATGGTGTGTGTCATTAAAGGGTGTGTGTCATTAAAGATAAAGAGTTTCAGTATAGAGATGAAGATACTGTGTTTTCGAACACTGTGGTAGATATTTTCACAAATATCACATTCAGATTTAATGTGGATGTCAGGTCAGCAGAGGTAGTTATTTGGGATTTGAAACCTCTGATTGACCAAGTAGAATATGCTTCATGTTTGTGCTACAGTTTCTGTATGCATGCATGCAGGTGGGAACTCATTCTGCCCTTTACGCTCTTTTAGTTCAGAGTTGGTCCCTTAGTCATGCCAGAAAACTGTGATCATGGGTTCGAATTTGAATTGCCATGATTGTAGGTTTCTTAGCTTAATTCACGGGCCCCCTTCTACATTATTATGAGAGTCTGTGTCTCTGTGATATAAGTGGAATACTGTAACAAGTGTCAATAAGCCCCACTCACTCACTCCTTTGATATAGGGATTGAACAGCATTATTATGAATATGGGAATGCCCACTCCTTTCTGGTTAACACCTGTGTCCCATTGTCCACACACAGTAAACTGACATACTCAGGTATACATTAAGTTAAAAAAATGATAGAAACTCACTTACTTGTTTACTCACTCAGTCACCCACCCTGTCACTCACTCACCCACTCAATCCATCGCTTGCTCACTCACCCACCCACCTACTCAATCCCTCAATCACCCACCCTGTCATTCACTCACTCACTCACTCACCCAAACACACAAACCCACTCACTCACTCACTCACCCACCCTGTCCCTCACTCACTCACCCACTCACTCACACACTCACTCACCCACCCTGTCCCTCACTCACTCACCCACCCACTCAGTCACTCACTCACTCACCCACCCTGTCCCTCACTCACTCACTCACTCACTCACTCACTCACTCACCCACCCTGTCCCTCACTCACTCACTCACCAAATCCTTATATATCATACATACATGTTTTATTGTTGTGGCAGGTTGCCGAGGAGGAGGAGTTCGACCTGACCATCCAGGGACCGTGGATGAAGAAGTGGGCCGTCGTCCACATGAACCAGCATACTGACAGGCTGTTAAAGGCCGAGGAAGCCACTTCTTGGCATAAGGCATAGTAACCACAGCAACTGGTTTCCTGACATAAATTGGGATATTTTTAGAACCTTGAGCTGATGGTATATGATATTCCTTTTACAATAGGCTTGATCTTATCTCACCTTCAAGATGTTATTCATGGATTTTCAGAAATCTCAATGTAATGTTCCATAGATCCCTGTGTAGTTGTAAAATCCAAGGTGGATATTAGAAAACCAGGATTCTGTATCTTTTCTTGTGAAGGCCCAAGATTTTAGAACACCTAGATTATGAAGTAGATTTTCTAGGCAGTGGTAATCTGTTTCAATATTGTTGACACGATACGTCGAGCACTTGTTTGTGTTGTGCGTGTGTCACACTGATGTGTTAAGACAAATAATGTATGTCAAATTCTCAGATGTCTCCACATCATATTAACAATGCACTTACACAAATGAAACAAGGAAATGATGCTACAACAGCTGCAGGGTCATCGTGACCCGACACAAACTTACCCGTGTTGCCTTGAAGAATCCTGAACACCTATGCACTTCATTGTTCAATTCCATGTTTCTTGATCCATCATTGCAAATTTACATAAATGAGGAAGAACATTCTGCTCGACAGTTTCAGAAATGAAAAGAAATAATGAAAATGTTGCTGTGGGAAGGTACAGCTTTAGTATTCACTTGATCAGGTCAAGCTGAAAAGCTGTAAGCAACCTTTTTCATTGAGGATTTTTTTGCTTACTTTAGTTATCAGACTAAAACTTAAAAGCAACGGTATGTTAAAAGTAAACTAAGTGAAAATGGACTTATGAAGGTGAATGGGAAGCCTGTGTTAAAACTGACTGTACAAGTTTCATTGGTCTTTAACTGTCCTTGAAACATATACCCATACTGTTCTACTTAGATGTGGCGTCAATAACCCTATGCAAACAGTGCATCAAGGCATATGCATCTGATTACATGTGGGCTTCGTGGAGGGAAGTTAGTGTTTTGTATAAATCGGGTTAAAACTATTGGTGATGGATGAATCAGAATGTGTCTCAGATGATATTTGGAGGAACCAATCTTGAGTTACCTGAGGCAGGGGGTTGAGAAAAACGTGGCCTGAATACAACAAAACCATTGTAACATGTGAAGCTGGTATTGTGTATTGTCTTTATGCAGCTGGCACACAAAAAGAAATAAATAAATAAAACTTTGAAAGGAAAAAAGCTGTGATGCAAGGAAATGCATACCTCTAGACTGGTGGAATAAACCATCACCAGGAATGATGGTTTGGTGACTTTCATGTTACTATGTGGCAGTGTAGTTATGTATATGTACTTATTAAAGCGTGTTTAAGATAAAAGGTTGTGAAGATGAAATGATTGGCGCTTAAAAGGGCGAGATGTAAATGTGCAGTCAGTACGTAATCCAGATACAGTCAAATGCCGATGAGTCGAATCTCATAGCAATTTTGGAACTGAGAAAATTATTCGTGCCAATTTTTGATATACTGTGAAGCGTAAGATATCAATCCTAGTGGTATCGTCATGATTAACAGTTTTCCAGATAAGCGAATCATGGTGACAAGGAGTCATGTGATGTTACACGCGAAACAGGTATCAGGGACCTCTAGGCCGCTGCAATTGGTGTACAGAATTTACTACTGAGAGTACCAGAGTCTTAGGATCTTAGAATCAGCCTTAAGAGCTTTGGACTAAGGTTTTCTGAGTAAATGATTCAACAGCTATGAGCCACAGTTTGTGTGGAAAGCAGTATGTGCAATAAGGTGCCTCCATTTTGTTACGACTAATATAACACATTGTTATTTCCATATGGGTGCTGCCAATTTGTACACTCATCAAGGGAGACAACCCAGGAAAAATATATTTGACCGTAGGCAAGAAATAAAACTGTAAGAATGTATTCGTTAAAGCCATTTGAGGGTTTGAAGCTCAATATACATATTTGTGAACACTTTATTGTTAAAAAATCTTTTGATAATTATATTTGGAATAAATTCTTGATTTTTCTATATGTTGTGTTGTGTTATGTATTTCTCGACAAATGGAACATAGGTGGTCCAACTTTTGAGCCCCCTGGTGTCTTCTGGCATTGGTAGAATGCTGTGATTGTCTGTTACCCATACCGTCATCAAAGACCATTACTTCAGGCTTTCGTCCCACAGCAATGACACGCCATGATAACTAAACTGGTGGAAGCTGGGTTCAACCCCAGGATAAAAATATACTTATCTACGAGTGAATGTTGTATATTGCACTGATCCAAATTGAAATTATGAGCAACCATCGACGCTGTCAGGGTATTTGACATACTATTAAATATCAGTCGTCATGTCTTCTTGAACCATTAAGTCGACTGACTGTATAAACCTTATGGGGCGGTGGGGTAGCCTAGTTGTTAACGCCGTTCGCTCTTTAGGCCAAAGACCCGGGTTCGATTCCCCACATGGTTAAATGTGTGGAGCCATTTCTGGTTTCTCCCGCTGTGATATTGCTGGAATATTGCAAAACGCGGCTTAAAACCTAATTCATTCACTGTCGAGTGGAAAGTGGAAAGTGACTGTTCATTTTGGTTGAGGGGCGGTGGGTAGCCTAATGGTTAAAGCGTTCGCTCTTCATGCTTAAGACACGGGTTTGATTCCCCACGTGGGTACAATGTGTGATGCACATTTCTAGTGTTCCCCGCCGTGATATTGCTGGAATATTGCTAAAAGCGGCGTATAACCTTATCACTCACTCACTCATATTGGTTGCACCGACTGCTACTTCATGGGTTAGTGCATGAGTGAGGGTTGTATCATCCTCCCGATAATAATCTATGATATCCACCAAACAATGGAAATGTCAGAAATACCTTTAGACGCGTATAGTCCGGTACCTATAGTCCTGTCAATTCTAAATGTTCCAGTCTCATCAGAATCAGATGATAGTGCTCGCTGCCTCTAGATGGTTAAACGGGTATATTAGAGACTACATCAGAACGACCAATAAAATGAGTGAGTTTAGTTTTACGCTGTTAGTTTTACGCTGCTTTTAGCAACATTCCAGCGATATCGCGGCCGGGGACACCAGAAATGGGCGTCACACATTGTACCCATGTGGGCTAATAAAATGACAAGCGCTAAGTCGACATTAGCCAATCTGAATGCAGCTTTGCCAGTCTTTCGACTCCATTTCAGATGATTGTAGGAACATAGTTCCTCGGTTATAAAGTACCGAAAAAATAGTCCTGATGTAATAAAATCCTATTTATTCATCAACTTTGATGTCAAAGATTTTAGAAAATCATTGATAACTCACACATAATTATGGGTTATTAAACAGATAAATTGATCGTTTATCTTCAAACGTGTCCATGCGTGTTTTTGTTCACTGATTATGTTGTGATTTTAATTGATTACATTGTAGTCCAGTGTTTAGGACTTTTTTTCCGGTACTTATTTTCCGAGGACTTTCTTCCGCTCACCTTTCAGATTACCTTTGGAAATAATTTGACGGTTCTAGATTCAATATTTTGAAATTGTACAAAAGAATAATATCGCGTGTGCCTATAGATGTCTGAGAGTTTATGTCATAAAATCCTGCGGCTGATCGAAAGTCTTCCGTTTCAAATGGTTGCTTGACCAGTCACCACTTGTGGCAACATCTGTAATCACCATATTACCACTTCTGTGATCGACCCTGTGACTACTTCCTTGACCGACCCTGAAGACAAGCTCGATGATCATGTCTGTGATCAACCCTGTGACCATCCCTGTGATCACGACTCTCACTACCCCTGTTACCACCTCAGTGACCATCCCTGACACGACGTTAGTGGCCGACGACTGTTGACCATGACCCCTGACTCGATGTTGACACGACGTTAGTGGTGGCCACGACTGTGACCATCCCTGACACGACGTTAGTGGCCACGACTGTGACCATCCCTGACTCGACTGTGTTAGTGGCCACGAGTGGCCATCCCGACTGTGACCATCCTGACGTTAGTGACCTGACCGATCCCACGACGTTAGTGGCCACGACTGTGACCATCCCTGACACGACGTTAGTGGCCACGACTGTGACCATCCCTGACACGACGTTAGTGGCCACGACTGTGACCATCCCTGACACGACGTTAGTGGCCACGACTGTGACCATCCCTGACACGACGTTAGTGGCCACGACTGTACGTGTGACCGACTGTGACCATCCCTGACACCGACGTTAGTGGCCACGACTGTGACCATCCCTGACACGACGTTAGTGGCCACGACTGTGACCATCCCTGACACGACGTTAGTGGCCACGACTGTGACCATCCCTGACACGACGTTAGTGGCCACGACTGTGACCATCCCTGACACGACGTTAGTGGCCACGACTGTGACCATCCCTGTGAGTGGCCACGACTGTGACCATCCCTGACACGACGTTAGTGGCCACGACTGACCATCCCTGACCGTTAGTTCCCTGACACGACGTTAGTGGCCTGTGACCATCCCTGACACGACGTTAGTGGCCACGACTGTGACCATCCCTGACATCCCGACCTGCCACGACGTTAGTGGCCACGACTGTGACCATCCCTTGACTGTGACATCCATCCCTGACACGAGTGACGGCCACGACTGTGACCATCCCGACACGTGGCCACGACGTTAGTGGCCACGACTGTGACCATCCCTGACACGACGTTAGTGGCCACGACTGTGACCATCCCTGACGACTGTGACGACGTTAGTGTGGCCACGACTGTGACCATCCCTGACTGTGACCATCCCGACGACGTTAGTGGCCACGACTGTGACCATCCCTGACACGATGTTAGTGGCCACGACTGTGACCATCCCTGACACGACGTTAGTGGCCACGACTGTGACCATCCCTGACACGACGTTAGTGGCCACGACTGTGACCATCCCTGACACGACGTTAGTGGCCACGACTGTGACCATCCCTGACACCACGTTAGTGGCCACGACTGTGACCATCCCTGACACGACGTTAGTGGCCACGACTGTGACCATCCCTGACACGACGTTAGTGGCCACGACTGTGACCATCCCTGACACGACGTTAGTGGCCACGACTGTGACCATCCCTGACACGACGTTAGTGGCCACGACTGACCATCCCTGACCATCCCTGACCATCCCTGACGATGTTAGTGGCCACGACTGTGACCATCCCTGACACGACACGTTAGTGGCCACGACTGTGACCATCCCTGACACGACGTTAGTGGCCACGACTGTGACCATCCCTGACGTTAGTGGCCACGACTGTGACCATCCCTGACACGACGTTAGTGGCCACGACTGTGACCATCCCTGACACGACGTTAGTGGCCACGACTGTGACCATCCCCCTGACACGACGTTAGTGGCCACGACTGTGACCATCCCTGACACGACGTTAGTGGCCACGACTGTGACCATCCCTGACACGACGTTAGTGGCCACGACTGTGACCATCCCTGACACGACGTTAGTGGCCACGACTGTGACCATCCCTGACACGACGTTAGTGGCCACGACTGTGACCATCCCTGACACACGACGTTAGTGGCCACGACTGTGACCATCCCTGACACGACGTTAGTGGCCACGACTGTGACCATCCCTGACACGACGTTAGTGGCCACGACTGTGACCATCCCTGACACCACGTTAGTGGCCACGACTGTGACCATCCCTGACACGACGTTAGTGGCCACGACTGTGACCATCCCTGACACGATGTTAGTGGCCACGACTGTGACCATCCCTGACACGACGTTGGTGGCCACGACTGTGACCATCCCTGACACGACGTTAGTGGCCACGACTGTGACCATCCCTGACACGACGTTAGTGGCCACGACTGTGACCATCCCTGACACGACGTTAGTGGCCACGACTGTGACCATCCCTGACACGACGTTAGTGGCCACGACTGTGACCATCCCTGACACGACGTTAGTGGCCACGACTGTGACCATCCCTGACACGATGTTAGTGGCCACGACTGTGACCATCCCTGACACGATGTTAGTGGCCACGACTGTGACCATCCCTGACACCACGTTAGTGACCATCAGTCTGACCACCTCAGGGACCTACGTGACCACCTATAGGACCACTCGTGTAATTATCTCGGGACTACCCCATGTGACCAACTGTGTGACCATCTCATTGACAATCAGTGTGACCAATCCAAGCAGAAAATGTGGCCACGATAACCTATGATTGATTGATTCATTGTTGCCGCACACTCAGCAATATTACAGCTATATGGCGGCGGTATGTAAATAATCAAGTCTGGACCAGACAATCCGGTGATCAATAGCATGGGATACGATGACATGTGTCAACCAAGTCAACTACCCTGACCAACCGATCCCGTTAGTCCCCTCTTACTACAAGCATGGATTACTGAAGATCAATTCTAACCCGGATTAATAACCTATGAACTGCCAAGACTGTACACAACCCGGTGTTATGTACGAATAACCTTTAAAGCGCATGTTTATAATGATCAAGCGGGTTGGCTTTAACGTCCTTTCGAACAGTATTTTAGTACCCCGGCTTGAAATACAAGATTAACAAATCTGGGCTTTCAACCCATGACCCTTTCTCCTGGCCCGCCCACGTAACGCAACTCTGAACCTAGAAATAAACTGGGTCATCCGTGCTCCCTCACATAAGCAAACGAGTGCGTAAATAAGGAATGACGCATGCATTTTCATACTATACTGCTACAGCAATGGGTAAAACCAGAACTAACTTTAGTCATGTATACATGCCCGATACTGAAGTTTGGTGACGATAGATGTGTACGTTACAGTGATTATCTGATTGTTCAATCAGAGACCATATAACTTTAGTCATGTATACATGCCCGATACTGAAGTTTGGTGACGATAGATGTGTACGTTACAGTGATTATCTGATTGTTCAATCAGAGACCATATAACTTTAGTCATGTATACATGCCCGATACCGAAGTTTGGTGACGATAGATGTGTACGTTACAGTGATTATCTGAT